AAAGAGAGAGGAAGACAGAGACACTCACATCTTGGTGGAAGTACAAAAGAGAGAGGAAGACAGAGATACCCACATCGTGAAGCATTAAAGAGAAAGGAAGACAGAGATACCTCACATCTCAAGTGGAAGCACAAAGAGAGAGGAAGACAGAGACACTCACATCGTGGTGGAAGTGACAAAGAGAGAGAGGAAGACAGAGATACCTCACATCGTGGTGGAAGCATTAAAGAGAAAGGAAATATTGGTGAGATACTCACACCGGTGGGAGTATTACAGAGAGAGGAAGACAGAGATACTCACATCGCAGGAAGCATTAAAGAGAGAGGAAGAAGAGTATACCCACCTGGTGGAAGCATTAAAGAGAGAGAAGACAGAGATACCCGATCCAGGAAGTATTAAAGAGAGAGTGAAGACAGAGATACACTCACATCGTGCAGGAAGCATAAAGAGAGAGAAGACAGAGATACTCAAGATCTTGGTGGAAGCATTGAAAAGAGAGAGAGGAAGACATGAGATACTTCCCCACATCGGTGGTGGAAGTATTAAAGAGAAAAGGAAAATATCAGAGATACTCCTCACATCTTGGTGGAAGTATTGAAGAGAGAGTGGAAATATTGCGAGATACTTCCCACATCAGTGGTGGAAGTATTAAAATATATAAAGGAAACATTGCGAGACACTCAACATCCTTGGTGGTAGCATTAAAGAGAGTGGAAATACTGGTGAGATTACCCCCACATCAGTGGCAGCTTTACTAAAGAGAGGAACATTTATGATTACCTCACATCGCAGTGGGAGTATTTAAAAAGAGAGAGGAAAATATTTGCGATGACACTTCACATCGGTAAAGTATTAAAGAGAAAGGAAGACAGAGATACTCACATCTTGGTGGGAAGTATTAAAGAGAGAGTGAAGACAGAGATAATTACATCGTGGTGGAAGTATTAAAGAGAAAGAAGACAGAGATACTCACACCGCAGGAGTATTACAGAGAGAAGACAGAGATACCTCATCTTGGTGGAAGTAATAAAGAGAGAGGAAGACAGAGATACTCAAGATCAGTGGAAGCATTAAAGAGAAGGAACACAGAGGATACCTCACATCTTGGTGGAAGTATTGAAGAGAGAGGAACATTGGTGAGATACTCACATCGTGGAAGTATTGAAAAGAGAAAGGAAGCCATTGGAGAGATACTCCACATCTGGTGGAAGTATTAAAAGAGAGAGGAAGACAGAGATACTCTGCCATCGGTGGAAGTATTAAAGAGAAAAGCACACAGAGATACCACATCTTGGTGGAAGTATTAAAGAGAGAGGAAGACAGAGATACTCACATCGTGGAAGCATTGAAGAGAGAGGAAGACAGAGAGGCTCACACCGTGGTGGAAGTATTACAGAGAGAGGAAGACAGAGATAATTATCGTGGTGGAAGCATTAAAGAGAAAGGAAGACAGAGATACCAAGATCGTGGTGGGAGCATTAAAGAGAGAGGAAGACAGAGATACTCACACGTGGTGGGAGTATTGGAAGAGAGAGGAAGACAGAGAGGCCTCACATCGTGGTGGAAGTACAAGAGAAAGGAAGACAGAGATACCTACATCTTTGGTGGAAGTATTAAAGAGAAAGGAAGACAGAGATACCACACCGTGGTGGGAGTACACAGAGAGAGAGGGAAGACAGAGATATCACATCTTGGTGGAAGTATTAAAGAGAGGAAGACAGAGATACCACAATCGTGGTGGGAAGATAAAGAGAGAGGGAAGACAGAGATACTCACATCGTGTGGAGTATTAAAGAGAGAGTAGAATATTGTGAGACACTCACATCGTGGTGAAGCATTAAAGGAGAGAGGAAGACAGAGATACTCAAGACCGCAGGGAAGTATTAAAGAGAGAGGAAGACAGAGATACCTCACATCGTGGTGGGAGTATTGAAGAGAGAGGAAGATGAGATACTCACATCGTGGTGTGTGAAGTATTAAGAGAGAGGAAGACAGAGATACTCACATCGTGGTGGGGAGTATTAAAGAGAGAGGAAGACAGAGACACTCACATCGTGGTGGAAGTATTAAGAGAAAGGAAGACAGAGAGATACTCACATCGTGGTGGAAGTATTAAAGAGAAAAGTTGAAGACAGAGATACTACATCGTGGTGGAAGTGATAAAGAGAGAGGAAGACAGAGATACTCACATCGTGGTGGAAGTATTAAAGAGAAAGGAAGACAGAGAGATAATCACATCGGTGGAAGCATTAAAGAGAGAGTGAAGACAGAGATACCTCACATCGTGGTGGAAGTATTAAAGAGAGAGGAAGACAGAGATACTCACATCGTGGTGGAAGCAT